ATCTCCCACCACCTTTCTACAATACACACAATAGAAATATTTTCCAATTTTCAAAAATACAGGCCTTCCACATACTTCTTTTTTTCTACTGGAAACGTCCTCTATCTGGAATACTCTCCCTCCCAATCCTGACTGGCAAATGCCTTCTGTGACCATCTCATTCTAAGTCCAACAACCTTACAATAGCACTGATAGTACTTTTTCACACATCTCTCTGAGCACACCTCTCACTATATTATGAAGACTGGTTTACCTGTGAATTTCTCCTTCTAGACTCCTTAAGAACCAGAATAATACCTTAACCATGTCAGTGTGTCCAGTACTTAGTACCTAGTACAGAGACTAGTACCTGGTAAAAATAAGTTGACGTTTGGGGGAAGAATAAAGAGAAAATATATGCCCTCATTAATACAGATGCATTCAATATAATTTTGATGTGTAGTCTATAGTGGGCTGCTGTAACAAAATGCCACTAGATGTTTTATAAACAATAGAAATTCACTTCTCACAGTTCTAGAGATTGGCAGTCCAAGACCAGGGTGCCAGCATGGTTGGGTGAAGGCCCTCTTTGGGGCTGTAGCCTTCTCACTGTACCCTTACTTACAATGCCATGGTAGAAAGGGCAGGGAGTTCAGCTGGCTCTCTTTCATAAGAGCATTGATTTCATTCGGAGGATTTGCCTTCCGGACATAATCACCTCCCCACAGCCCCATCTCCTAATATCATCACCTTGGGGGTCAGGTACCGAATTTATGAATCTGGAAGGGCATATTCAGACCACAGCACCAAAAAAGCTCAAATCTGCTACCTCATACTTACAAATTGGCCATCAGCAGTACTTAATGTCCTTAAAAAAGTCTAGATTAAGTCAATCTGATGTGAAGAGTTTGGGATTTCAGAAGCGATGTCTTTTTTCTCATACTTTAAAACCTCTCTCTGGCTTCCTATATTACTCAGACTCCTTAGCCTAAGAAGCTCAATGTAAGAATTTATGTAGCAACAATGAGTTGTGGGAATGGCTGGTGAGGGAATTGTCAGCTGTGACAAAGCCTGACGCTTGGCTCTGGAGCCTCTCCTCTTTAAGAAGGCAGTTCCTGGTTACTTTAGAGCAGTGGTTCTCAACCTTCCTAATGCCGCCACCCTTTAATACAGTTCCTCATGTTGTGGTGACCCCCAACCATAAAATTATTTTCGTTGCTACTTCATAACTGTAATTTTGCTACTGTTAATGAATCATAATGTAAATATCTGTTTCCATCTACTTGTCTCAATTGCTCCATCATGTGTAATTGCTTCAGGCGTGTATTCCCATTCACTATATAACTTTTTCATGGTGTCTAGTCTGATGTTTCATCTAATCCTTGAGTTTTTTGTAATTAAGTAATTTATTTCTTTATTTACTTATTTTATGCTCAAAATTTCAAACATAAGTCAAACTTGAAAGAAGTTTATATGGAATACCTCCTGTATATTTACTATTTAGATTGTGTCCCTGAAATTTTACTATGCTTTGTTTATCATTTATCTGTCGATCTATTTATCCACTAATCCATCTTAATTTGAGTGCTTTTCAAAGTAAATTGCAAACATCAATTATACTTGCCCCTAAGTGTATGCCTTAATATGTATATTATTAGAGTTCATTATTTGTTTATAGGTTTTACTTTTGCTGCACAATTACATACACTTCATTATGTAAATCTTAAGTGTATATTCACTGAGTTTTGACAAATGTCATAATATTTATAAGATTAATCCAAATGGTTGCATGTATCATTAGTTTGTTTATATTTATTGCCTAATAGCATTACACTGTCTAAATATCTACATGATAGTTAAAAATAATCTATTCTCTGATTGATGGCCTTCTGGGCTGTTTCCAGTTTTAGGTTATTATGAATAAAACTCCTATACATATTTTTGTATAAATATTTTTTAAGATGTTTTAATTTCTTTTTTAGAAGACCCAGGAGTGAAGGTGTTAGCTCACAGGATGGTCTATGCTTAGTTTTATAAGAATTTCTTACAGTTTTCTCTGAATTGATTGTACCAGTTTACATTCCCAGTTATTTTATCACCAAGTCAAAATTTGTCAGTCTTTCTAATTTTAAGGTCCACTTATCTGTGATTGGGAGTCCACAGCTGCAGAGTACTGACTGTATGCAGAGGGTGTCCCTAAGGTAGGGAAAGGATCGGTTTTCTAACCCCTGCATTGTTCAAGGGTCAACTGTAGTATCTCATAATGGTTTTATTCTTTAAAAAATAAAAATAAAAAAATACACACACACACACACACACACACACACACACACACATATATATATATATATATTATTTTTTTTATGTATCTTGATTTCAGAGAGGAAGGGAGAGGGAGAGAGAAAGAAAAATCAATGATGAGAGAGAATCATTGATCAGTTGCCTCCTGTACACCCCTCACTGGGCATGTGTCCTTGATTGGAACTGAACCTGAGACCCTTCAGTCCATAGGCTCTATCCACTGAGCCAAACCAGCTTGAGCTCATAATGGTTTTAATTTGCATTTCTCATATTTTTATTGATTATCACATATCTGATTTGTGAAGGGTCTGTTCAAATTGTCCATTTAAAAAATTGGTTTGTTTGGCTTCTTCAATTGTAAAGCTCTCTGTATAAACATAACACCAGTTCTTTGCCACATATATATTTTAGAAATATTTTTTTCCAGTCTTACGTATTAATTTTCTTAATAGTGTCTTCAGATAAGCATAAGTTTAAATTTTGATGAAGTATAATGATCAATTTTTTTCTTTTTTGATTAATATTTTTTGTATCCTAAGGAATTGTTGCCCATTCCCAAGTCATGAAACTATTCTATGTTTTCTCCTAAAAGTTTCCTGATTTTACTTATTTATTTACTTACACTTATTGGAGTGACATTGGTCAACATGAACATATGGGTTTCAGGTTTGGGATTCTATGTTACAAGAGCTGTATATTGAGGTGGTTCCTAATATGGTGATAGGAGAAGATATGATTTTGGGTGGTAGACACATGGTTTTATTTTTTATATTTAAGTCTATGTTCTATTTCAAATGAATTTTTATGTTTGATGTGAGGTAGAAATTGAGATTCACTTTTTTTCTGTATGGATAGTCAATTATTTCAGCACTGTTTGTGGAAAAAAAAACTTCTTTCCCTATTGGACTGCTTTGGTGTCTTTGTCAAAAATCCCCCAAATGTGGGTCCATTTCTGGGTGCTCTTTCCCACTGACCTATATGTTGATGCTATGACAGTATCATACCATCTTAAATTCTGCAGGTTTGTAAACCAGCCCTTTAAAAATTTATCTTGGCATTGAAAGAACCTGATAAACATAATAGCCCCTTGTAGTACTCATGTTCCATTTCTTTTTCCCTTGAGGATAGGAAAGACAAAGTAACTTCAAGATCACGAAAAGCAAAAATTACTAAAGTTTTTGAATCACTACCTAAAATTAGTTTATTTAAAGTTTCTTTTTAAAACAACAACACAGATGTTTGGCCTCTCTGCCTTGAAACTCTATGTTTTTGTAAAAAAATGTTCAGAATGTCATGTTAAATCCCCACAAGTAACGTTGTGGCAACAGGAACACAAATACTGATAAATCCCAAATTGGTAATAAATAAGCCATTGAAAAAAAATACCACATGTGAGCCTATTTATAACTCAGAAGAGCCTCTCTATAATGTTAAACAACCCTGTGCACTGGGATGAAGATGGGATCTAGTTTTACGTATTTATGAAATACTGATATAGTAAGTGAGCATCAGTCTAGATGTTTTTGAGTGAAGCAAAGAAAAAAAAAATCGATATCTTATTTCTTTTAGATGGATAAGTATTCAAAGAAAAATATTTATAGCCCAAGGTAAATGGCTATTCTAAAGTGGGTTACTAACTACTAGTATATGCTAAAATTAAGTTTACAGAAGGCCTAAAATTTAGTTCTTCAGTTAGTAAACAGCACAGAAAGTACTAAAGGGAGAAAGCAACCTGGGGATGTGCCCTGACAGGGAATCAAACCATGACCTCTAGCTTCATAGGTCGATGCTCAACCACTGAGCCACGCTGGATTAGCTTCAATTGGGATTTTGATGGGAACTGCAGTGACTCTTCTTTTGAGAAAAACTGATTGTTATAATTTTATAATACTGAATCTTCAAGTCTATGAACATGATGTATGTTTCTATTTATTTAGGCCTTCTTTCATCCATTAATTAATATACTCAATTTTATTATTAATTATGACCTACAATTATCACTTTCCAGAATTTAACGTGCATTTTGTTTAGATTCTCTTTAGTACCACAGCTAGTCTTTAAAATATTAATATTTAATTACACTTTTTCTGCTTGTGGAAAAAGTTTGAGAAGGTTTTGTATTACTTGCAAAACATATGATGCCAATGTCACAGACTATCTAACAAGCAAGTCAGAATGGAGAAATCGAATTATTTGCTCCTGCTAATTATGTCTTCATGACTTTGTGGGAAGTTTATCTCAGTAAATTCATACACATCTTTTGAAATCAACTAGAAATATATTTTTGTGCTTCACACACACAAAGTGCTTAATACTTAACTGAGTAATTCATTTATCATTTGGATAATCGACTATTCATTGCCCTCTGCTTTAATGGTATAATTGAAAATTGTCTAAAAGGGGCTGGAATGAATATACACATTAAGTAAAATATAACCAAATATTTTCAAGATAGGTGTTTGGTTTCAGAAAGCTTGCTAATAAAACCAAAAAGATAACCTAGTATTTTTCCCCCCCAAAAGAAAACAAAGAATAAAATACTCTCAATATTTATGCCAAGTAATAAATGAGTGTTTCTGTCAGAATTGGGATAGATATTAACTCTTCATCCTATAAGCTGTAGGAGGCTTAAAAGACCTTCAGTCAGCAATTACTGAATTTCCGGGAAAAGGAAAAGAATTCACAGATAAGAAAAATAATCTGAAAAGACTAAAAGTTACCTGCAGAGTACAGTTCATCATCCTTATTATATAGTCAAACTGCTGATGGTCTAGTATTGCCCGGTTTTGCTGGACGTGCAAACCCAGCTCATCAGTGAGACACCGCCTTGCTGCCTTTCCTTTAAGAGCTCTCAATGCCGCGGGAAGGGTCTGAGGACAAGAGAGGCAGATGTGAACAACAGGTACCACTGGAAAAATTAATTCATGATTTCACTGAAAGTTCAAGTGCATCCTGTAAGACATTTAACAGTTATAAGTAAAATTAAACTCCTGGAAAAGAGTAGCTTTGCTACTGAGGACAATTATAAAATAGAGGGATTTTTAGTTATTTTTATGAATAGGAAGCAAGCATGAAAATATGCAAATTAATTTATGTATAATTTAAAAAAAACATTAACAATACTTAAAACAACTCATCAAAACTCTAGTCACCAAATGATTGTTGCTTCAGATCACAAGTCAAAGCCACACTTAGATACCTTCTTTCATTAACTGACTATGTATCCACAGCAAGAATAGAAATAAAAATTAAAATGACAAGAAATACAGGTGATTTGCTACTTTTAAACAGGGCAGCTATTTAGTCACTAGTTTTAGTTTATGACTGCAAAATTCTACAATCTCTTCTCACTTCAAAAGAAAGAAAAAGGACTCAAAGCAACACATATATCTTTAGTTTTATTCATTAAAAATCATTCAATTCACTACTCATTAGAATGCCTCTTCCAGTTTACCACATAAAGCCTAGTAAATATGCTTTACATGAAATAAGAAAAGCTTTACTTAACTTTGAAAACCTAAAAACCAGAACAAAAGAGCAAATAAGGAGAAGCCGAAGAGTAGGAGGGTATGGCATTTTTAGAGGCAGGTATAAGAAACAAGATGGGACAGCTGGAAGCAAGAGAACAAAAGAAAATCTGTAACACTTCAACCATAGGAAAAAGGGGAAACTGAACAACATCAAAACAGAAAGAGGCTTGGGGTCATTTGTTGTAAGGGTCAAAACCTTACATGCTTTACTAGCTCTTTGTAACAGATGTTCAGTAATTTCAGTATGATGAAATTACTAAGAAAAGTTTACATTATGTTTAGCATGTTTTATTAAAGAAGGCAAGAAAATCTGCTTTAATGAGGCACATTTAAGTTGAATACCACTTATCTACCTGGATTCTTTGCCAGAAATATAATTATATTTAAAATGTTAATCACGTATGGCGTCAGATGGATAATAGACTTATCAGGGTGATCACTTTGTAAATTACAGAAATGTCTAATCACTATGTTTTACACCTGAAATTAATGTAATGTTGTATGTGAACTGTAACTGAAAAATTAAAATGTTAAGTTCCTAGGTAATATGCCAAAATAGGATTTAGTGAACAATGTTAAAAGTTTGAGGGAAATGATGACTATCAATATTTGTCTGGTAGCCATGGAATTAGGCTTGGCTAAGAGTTTACATTCTAGACACTATTCATCAAAACACTTGATATAGAAAAAGGATGAAATTAGAGATATAAGTTAGCAATTTAAACATGTAAATCTGAAAGGGAAATAATGAATTCTTATGTCACAAATATAGCATTTTATTACCTTTTCAGTCTCCAATGTTTTATTTTCAAATATGAATGAGATGCAGTTTCTAACAACTTCCAATCTCTGTGCACTGTTGAAAACTGTTTTCACCTTATCCATTATCGAAACTAGAAAAGGAATATAAAAAAAACAAGTAAATTAAACTCCTCTGGCAATTACAAAAGCAAGGGGAATAGTACTGGTTTGAGTTTATATGGCTGTAACTGTTTTCATGATTGACACTTAAGAATTATTTGTTTCCTTTCTTATGTGGCATTGAAGGTATTCCATTTCATTATTTTTATTGTATTTTCACGTTTTAAAGTGTCAAGCTAGTCAATGGTTTATTAAGGATAATTTTACAGGATAGATTCCAATGATACAATTAACTTATGCAAATCAATATTTCATAGTAAAAATCACATTAAGCTAAAGTAAACATCTATTTTAACTTTAATTGTAAACAAACTGATATGTGCTTGGGATACAAGATCATGACAAAAGTAGCCACTGTAAGAGAATTACTAATGAAAAAAAAGAAGTTGATATTTCTATGATTACCAAAAAAAAATCACATGCCCCCCCAAATTAGATTCTCAGAATGGAAAAGAATATTTGCAAATCATGTGTCTGATAAAGGACTTGTATACAGAATATACAGAGAACACTTAACTCGGCAATAAAAAGACAAATAGCCCAATTTAAAAATGGGCCAAGGATCTCAACAGACATTTCTGCAGAGAAGATATAATGGCCAATAAGCAAATGAAAAGATGCTCTGCATCATTAGTGAATGTGGAGAAACTGGAACACCCATACATTGCTGGTGGGAATGTTAACTGGGACAGCTGCTTTGGAAAACAATCTGGCAGTTTTTCACAACATTGGACATAGATTTATATGAAGCAATTCCACACCAAGGTATATATCTAGGAGAACTGAAGAGATATGTCCACACAAAAACTTGCACATGAATGCTCACAGTAGCATTACTAATAGTAACAAAAGGAGAAACAACCCAAATATCCATTAACTGATGAATGAATAACAAAATGTTATATACAGATGGTCCTCGACTTAGGAAAATGGTTCAAGTTATGATTTTCAACTTGATGATGGTGCAAAAGCAGTGAGCATTCAGTAGAAACTGTACTTCAAATTCTGAATTTTTACCTTTCCCAAGCTTGCTATGTGTGGTAGGATACTCTCTCCTAATGCTGGGTAGCGGCAATGAGCCACAGTGATCATGAGGGTAAACAACTAATACTCTACAGTGCACTCTGTTGTCAGTGGTTTTGGATGCTGTGTTCTAAGCATGTTTAAGGTAGGCTAGGCTAATATGATGGTCAATAGGTTAGGAGTACTAAGTGGCCAAAGATGGCTGTCCCCATGTGGACACAAAATGGCCGCCACAGATGGCCAGCAGGGGATAGCAGTTGTGGGGGACACAGGCTTGCAGGAAAGGGCAGTTTCGGGGGGGGGGGGGAACCAGGCCTGCATGGGAGGACAGATGGGGGGAATCAGGCCTATAGGGTAGGGCAGTTGGGAATGACCAGGCCTACAGGGGAGGACAGTTGGGGACAACCAGGCTGGCAGGGGAGGGGAGTTGGGGGTGTCCAGGTTGTCAGGGGAGTCAGGGGAGGACAGTTGGGGGGAAACAGGCCTGCAGGGGAGGGCAGCTGGGGATAACCAGGCTGGCAAGGGAGAGCAATTGTGGGTGACTGGGTCAGCAGGGGAGGGCAGTTGGGACCAGGCCTACGGGGGAGGACGGCTGGGGGGGGGGGGGGGGAGGAAAGAATCAGGCCTGTAGGGGAGAGCAGTTGGAGTCGACCAGGTCTGCAGGGGAGGGTGTTAGGGGCAACCAGGCCTGCAGGGGAGAGAAGTTGGAGGGGACGAGGCCTGCAGGGGGCAGTTGGAGGAGACCAGGCCAGCAGGGGAGGGCAGTTAGGGGCAACCAGGCTGGCAAGGGAGGGCAGTTGTGGGTGACTGAGTCAGCAGAGAAGGCAGTTGGGGGCAACCAGGACTGCAGGGGAGCACAGTTAGGGGCAACTAGGCTGGCAAAGGAAGACAAGGGTGACTGGGCCTGCAGGGAAGGACAGTTAGGGCTACCAGGCAGGCAGGATAGGTTAGGTGTGACCAAGTTGGCAGGAGAAGGTAGTTAGGAGCAATCAGGCAGACAGGGGAGCAGTTAGGCTTCGATCAGACTGGCAGGGGAGTGATTAGGGGATGATCAGGCAGGCAAGCAGGCTAGCGGTTGGAAGCCAGCAGTCCTGGATTGTGAGAGGGACTGCCCATTTAGGCCCGAACACTCGAGGTGTCCCAGATTAGAGAGTGTGCAAGCTGGGCTGAGGGACACACACACACACACACACACACACACACACACACCCCTGTGCATGAATTTCATGCATCGGACCTTTAGTATTATGATGAATGAAAAAAGCCAGTCACAAAAAAAGATCAATTATATAACTCCATTTATATAAAATATCCAGAATAGGCAAATCTGTAAAGACAGAAAGTAGATTAATGTCTAAAGCTAGGGAAGGAGTGATTTTTAGGAGAAAATTATACCCTGCTAATGGACCTGGGTATATTTGTTTGAGATAATGAAAATGTTCTGAAATTAGAGAAAATGGATGTATGACTGTGAATATACTAAAAGCCACTAAACTATACACTTTAAATGGGTGAATTTTAAGTATGTGGATTGTATCTCGATATAGCTGTTTTAAAAAAGGATTCTATAGTAGTGGCAGTTCAATGAATGGTTACCCTTTGTGACAGGCAGTGAATAGGGCAGTACTTCTGAGTGTTGGTAATATTCTGATTCTGGTTACTTGAATTTCTGTGTCTTCTGTCTCAATAAGAAGTTTACTTTTAAACACACGAACAAATACATACCAACAGGTGGGCCTGCTGGCACAACACATTTCTTGTCCACTCGTGAAGCAGGAGGTGCATTCTGGTTCTTAGCAAGATTCTCCTGTATCAATTCCTGTACTCGGGTTTCATTTATCTTTGGAAAAGGAAGAATATGAACTCGCAAGTGGGATCCTTCTGTGGGTCGTGGAACTTTCTGAAATGCCATATGAGGGTTTGGGTTCTCCTGCAATATCAAACACAGTAAGATTATGCAGAAGTTAAGATTGTCAGGAAGGGAATGGGAGCTGAGAGGGAATAAGCTGCAGTCAGATGAGTGAATACCTGTACACTCAGATACATGCCATAGAACAGAGCCTTACTTCAGCACCTTCAGAAACAGCTGACCCTCCTTCTTCCACTTCCATGAACACGTTTTCACTTGATTTCTAGATCTTGCTACGTCTTTATTTTTTATCTCCCTAATCTTTTAACTATGTGAATAACCCAGGGCTCAGACCTTGGGCTTCTCTTCTATTTATATTTACTTCCTTGGTGATAATTTCCAGCTTCATATCTTTAAACCACAAAACACCAAGAACTCACACAATTTTATCTCCACCTGAGCTTTCTCTTGAACTCCAATATATTCAATATAAATATTTCCATCTGGATTTAAATATCATCTTATATGTCCAAAATGGAGATTTAATCTCCACCTTTCCAAATTTGTTTTCTGCAGTCTTCACCTCTTGTGTATATGGCATGTTTATTCCAATTACTCAGGTGAAAAGCTGAGTCACCTTTAATGTCTTTTCCCAACACTCAGTTATCCATTCCTCTGCACACCTCTGCACCCTGCCTTTGAAGCATGTTTAAATCTGACCACTTTTCAACACCGGGGTCAAGCCAATATCTCTCCTTTACTACAGAACATGTCTCCTCACTGGTCTCCCTGCTCCCACCATTGGTCCCTCGCTCCTCCATTCTTAGCACCACAGACAGAATGAACCAAAGTTAAATCACCACCAACCACCCTATTCATTCAAACAGCTCTTTATCTCAGAGTAAAACCCAAAGTTTTCACAATAATTTGCAAGGCTCCACAAGATAGGACTTTTCTATGAGGCCCTGTCCTACTGCTGTTGCTATCTCTTCCTTCATTCTGCCTGACATTCAGGCCTTCTTGCTCCTGACCCAAGGCCTTCGCATTTAACACTCACCTCTTTAGAATCCCTGCTCCCACACCGACTTACTGAGCCCTCTCTCCCTTTCTGCATTTCTTTCCTCAAATGCCACCTTTCTTGGTCACCCTATGTAACTTTACCTCCCCAACACATACCCTATCCCCTTATTATATTTTCCTTCTTAGCACCTATCAAGCTTCTCACATACTCTAAGTCTTATTTAACTTGACTGTCTATCATTCTCTCAGTAACATGAAGCTCCACATGGGCGTCAATTAAAAAAAATGTTCCATCTAGAAATTGCCAGGCATGTAGCAGGCACCCTATGCTACTTCCTACTGTATCCTAACAAATGGAATACTATGTTGAGCACATACTAGGATTGTCATAATTAAATTAAATGTGTCATGGATTTTTATTCAGTCACCTAGTTAAGTAGAATTATATTTCAAATACTACAGGCAGAGTGAAATCCACCCTCTTTATCATGTTCTCTAGGGAAGGCTAGTCTTCAACCATTTAAGACAAATTCTAGTATTTATTATTCTGTGTAACCAGAAAATTCTTCCTCCCCCAAAAGAACCTATGTTATCCATGCTGTGGATTAAGCTCATCACTACTCTATGCATTTTCTGGACAGTTAAAATGGCCACTGTCATCGTGTATTAGAGTTGCTCCCCACAATTTTTTATTTTATTTTATTTTATTTTTGGTTATTTGGCCAGACCCAGAAAAAAAAAAAAAAAAAGAAAGGTTGGGCTACAGCAGGTGATGTAGTGAGCACATCTCAGCAATACAAAGGAAATAATAGTCCTTTACAAAGCTTCAGGTCTTGTTTTTTGCTCTGTTCACTATGTAATGCTGGATAAGTAACTCTGCCTCAGCTACACACTCATGCTTCTCTTAAAAGGTTCCGGAGAAGCTGAAATTAGATAGAAAACTTGTTCTGGCCAGAGCAGCCCTCATACACACTTTGTATTCCCCTCTGATGTCATTAGCAAGGGCAGGGAAGAATAAATAGGTAAGTTCCTACGCCAAGACTTCATGATCAGCCCTTTCCAAACTATATGGTAACATATTCCTGTTCTAAAATTATTCCTGGATTAACCCAACATCATTGGACTATAGTTTATAAAATGAGTCTTTTCAAATACCATATTTGTTTTTCTCTGTTCTTTAGACTCAAGTTTAAGGTATGTTTTTAAAAGTTACACATATAAATATTCTAGCCCTGACTGGTTTGGCTCAGTGGATAGAGAGTCAGTCTAGGGATTGAAAGGTCCCAGGTTCAATTCCAGTCAAGGGCATGTACCTTGGTTGCGGCACATCCCCAGTAGGGGTTGTGCAGGAAGCAGCTGATTGACATTTCTAACTATCTTTCTCTCTTCCTCTCTGTAAAAAAAATCAATAAAATATATTTTAAAAATATTATAAAATCCTTTGGGAAGATATCTTTTTTTAGGATGGAGAGGTAATTCACATGGATTTTAAAGTTTTAATCAGAATCATTTAAAATATAGTCTTCACTACTTTTGTTACTATTGACACTTGTTTTTTTATAATAAAAATTATGACTTTTTAAATATATTTCCATGATGTAAGTAATATTCATTATAAAAAAGTTCAAAACATGAAAAATTAAAGTAGAAAAGAAATCTTCTTAATGATGTCAGATTTTCTAGCTATATTTTATATTTTTCTCTCTTACTATATATGCTTCTACCTTGGTCCAAAAATGACTTAAGGTGGGTTTATAAAAGGAGGATACACATATTGCTCAAAATTCTAAAATGTGCTAATACCAAACTTTATAAAGCAGAACTAAGATCCAAAAATAGTCAAGGCTATTCTGAAGAAGAAAAAGAGAGGAAATAAAACTTTCTGGATATCAAAACTCAGATAAATCTTTAATATTATAATATAGTATGTCAGTTGATCCGAAGGTTGTGGGTTATTGTTAAGCTAATTAATAATATAGTATGTCGATTGGTATTAGTGAAGGCCTTAAAAAAACTAATGGAATAGAGAACCCATAAATAGGACTATGTGTGAAAACATGATAGAGATAGGAGGCACTATAATTCAGATGGAAAGGCTAGACAATTCAATGAGAGAGGGAGTATAAGAAGTACTTTTAATTCATGGTCTCTGATGTTGGACCACCTGGGTCAAATCCCAGTTTAGTACTGTGACATGGTGCAGTTTATTTTAGTTTCCTCATCTGTAATAAAGATAATAATATGGTACCTACTTCATAAGGTTCTTGTGAGGATAGAATGAGTTGTCAAAGAATAGCTTTTAGAACAAACATGTGAATGCGCGCGCACACACACACACATACTTGCCCAGAATAATTCTCAAAGCTGTTTTCCAAAAGTCTAGGACACATTCATTTGAATAAATATTTAGTCACTGCATATTCTTTGGCATGCCACCAGGCCTCTAAAATATTTTCCCCACTTGTATTCTAACAGTAATAAAAATAGTACTAAAAAACAGTTTAAATAGAAATCACTAATTAAAGAAAATATATTGCTTTTAGTCATTAATAGTGTTTTTTCTCATAAGCAATTTGAAATGTCATAAAACAAATGCATACACAATTCAGAATAACAAGCATGTTTTAAAGCAAAGTTCAAAGATGAGGCTATCCTGTAATTCAGTGTTTCACAAAGTGTGACACGCATACCCCCAGGGGTATGGGAAGAGTTTGGCGGGATACGCGTTGCACAGGAGTTTGGTGGGGATATGCACTGCACCGTGCTTAGCTGCGTCTAATTCTACATTCTCTTGAGGACGAGGGGTACTCAGCGTTATGAAAGTTATAGAAGGGGTACACATATGTCAAAAGTTTAGGAAACACTGCAGTGTAATTGAATATATAGCCTACATAAAAATTGCTTAGAAGATTCAAAGAGGCTCATGCCCCCAAATCTAGCATGGTTGGTTCTTTGGCTGCTGTGTCTGTGTATTGCTGCCCCCTAATGGTCAGTGTGGTAAACATAAAGGACCACATTCTCCACCTTATACCCACCCAGCTTTGTCACATTATGACTTCTGAGAAAATAGCAGAAATGATGAGAAGTTTAAGGGTCATTGAACACTACATATTCTTAGAAACATCTGCTCTTACTCAAAACTCCAAATGCATGTGGGCAAGTCCCTTGAAGATTACTGAGTTCATTAAAAATTGCAGCCCAATTTTGTGTTGAAACAATAAAATTCATTATTTTCCAATAGAACAAAAAAGCAGCCAAATTGCCAGTTTAATTGCAGGGAAATGCAAATGCAAAATAATAATCCAGGAGTTACACAACTGAACATTTATAGTGACCATGGTAACAATTTTGTCCAAAGCATCTAAGATGAACTGCCCAAGACAGCTGGCAAAATGCACTATCTCTTAAGAGGGAATTTTGAAGTTGGATAATGATTTTCAAGAAATGTCTTTATATTCCTGCTGTAAGGGCACACTAGTAATGGGAGGTACGATTTTCTCAGACTTAAAAAAATGACATACATACCATCTGGTATGGAAACATGGATTTTTCTCCTTTCTTGTCAAGCTAAATGAGAATATGCCTAGAGCCTAAAGAAAACGAGGCTGAGAACAACTTCAAACAAAAGCACAGCAAAGCAAAACAAAACAAAAACCCCAATCCCTACTGGAAATTCAAAGTAGGCAACCACTACATTTGGGAGTGGGAGGGGGAAATTTCCTCCTACACATTGGTCTTAGCAGTGAATGACAAACCAATGTGACCTTGTTAGAGGTACCAAGTTTTCCATATTAATTTAGCCATTTAGTAATTATTTAATATGTACCAGTTGTACCTAGAGCTATGTAGAATAGCGAGTTACACAAATTCATTTAAATACCACTGAAACCAATCCTATCACTGGACTAAGTTAAACACTGACAAAATACAGCTAAACATTTTAGAGTTTCCTGGCTGTGAACACGGTATTTATGGAATGAAACATTCTCAATTTCTCATCTTCATAAGCATTTCAATGATCATCTAATTGAATTAATGTCTCATCCTTAATACAAATAAAT